TTGATTGTCGTCAACCTTCGGTAGAAGACGGCACTTAAAGAAGAATTCTTCAAAATATTTGTTGTCTTATAGAAACTTGATACACACACATTTAAACGTGTATCAACGTTTGCTATAGACAATCCATCACCACACATTACCATAATGATAGTTTTATTTAAATTTGACTAAATAATTTTAGGCAGACTAAGATTAATGCCATGTTTTATAATTTTATTAATTATGATTATTAAATTGTAAAAAAACGTTTTTTGTGTCATTAAATCTAGTATAAGCATAAAAAGCACTAATACGTAGTTGATAACTAAGCAATCCAATCAATAATATCTTAATATGACAGACGAATTTAAAAAGGATCTCGGTTTTCTCCACATGACGTATGTCATAACAAAATTCAAGTGTCATCATCCAAAAATTCTCGTTTCAAATTCTCGTTCATTTTATTCAATCATCGCAAACTCATACCAGTAATTTTTCCTCGAATTCGCCTGTGATGAACAGCTCAAAACTAAGAACAACCAAAACATTAAAACCCTACGTCCGATGGTTGCAGTCCTCGACCAAAAAAACACAAAAGATGCCTCGACACGGTCAATCTTGCGAAATCGACTGCTGCGGCAATCCCTTACCCAAAGAAAAGGATGTGGTAGTCGAGAAAAACCTTGATCCCTGTATATTCGACACTTGGAAGCCAAAAATCCCCGTTTTGAAAGCGGAACCGAAGCCTTGCATATGCCCTCCGGTGACGTGCAAGCCAAAGTTTTGCTACGCAGGCATGAAATGCAAACCGGGTCCGGCTGAACTTAAAGAAAAGGGAATTAAGTGTTTGGGCCAGGTTTCTCCGAAAGCTATTCCAGTATCTCATCCTCCAGCAATGGTAAATGATTTATCTTATTCTTAATTTAATTATACAACTTATCTTCATCTGATATCTGATATTTTACTCAACGATTCTTTAGATACTGTTCTACTTGGTCTTCCCTTTCTCTATCGCTTAACACTCTTTAACACCATCTTGTCGTCTGTGCTTCTTCAAATATAGCCATTTGCGATCTAATTATTTTGGGTTCTCGGTATAAATTAAACAACTAATCGTTTGTTCTTTTTATTAAACACCATCTGTCGTTTTTCCACCATGCATTTTTTTTGTTCCCGCATATCCAGCTCTTTTTTTACTCCTTTTATTAAAGTCCGACTGTCTCTAGCTAAAGTTAGTGTTATGATTTAGCCCCTCTTGAAAGCCCCTCTGAGCAGAGGTAGCCATAAGGAAACGTTTCAGTTCAAACACACTAAGTAGGTCACTTAAGTAAGTTCACTAAATAGTTCTACACACTTAAGTAACGAAATACTAAATGCTGCTAACCAACACACAACGTTTCATCACGGTATAACAGACGTAGTAAGCAAGGCTGCCAGGTCTAGGGATTTATCCCGAATCTAGGGATATTTCAGCATAAAAGGGACAAAGGGATTTTTTTGATATTTATGGTAAAATCTAGGGATTTTTGACCGGCTCAAATATTTACCTACATGGGCCTATTATAATAACATTTTCTTTAATTCAAGTATAAAACCACTTCGTATTAACAGTATTAAATAAGCGATCTTTAATTACAAATACTTAAACTACTAGTAAACTACTAAAGGATTCTATTATCAGATGTCGTTAACTGTCCACGTTCTTGGAATCTTTATTTTATGCTACCAAATAGATTTCTGCCAAAAATAGAATCCTATATATTTTCATAGAAGAGAAGCAAATTCTGGAGCAGAAATTAGGGGATTTACAAAAATCTTAGGTTTTATAAAATAAATAATTAGGGGATTTACAGTAGGAATCGGGTGAATCCCAGGATTCGTGGAAATATATAAATAAAATTATATGCTTCACCATCTCAATTCTTTTCAAGTTGTATTTTGTATTAATTTTATTAAGTGAATAATACTTAATAATATTATATTAAATGGAATATTCAAAGCCATAAATAAGTACATTATTCCGTTTTTCTTAAATTTATTCAAATCCTCGCTATTATACCGTTTAAAAATGAAATATTTTTGAAATAAAGGTATAAAACAACAATTATTTTTTTAGGTTGAGTTTACCGAAAGCACAAGCTGAACATAGCCGCAAATGTCAAAAATATTTCGGCTTGGCAGTGTTGGCATGTTTTTATAATGCATATATTGTATGCTTCAAATATAAAGAGATAAAGCTTTTAAAAAGTATATTTTGATTATACTATTTTATAATATAATGATATTTATGATTTATATTAATCTCTTTCGAGATTAATTGCAAACATATGTTGTAATCTGGCAACTGCTCATTTGACGATTGCCAAATCTATCCCCTAATCTACCAAAGTGTAATTGCTAAAAAAATTCTAATAATTAACTGCAATTAATCTCCAAAGAAACAAATATTTACACAGCATCTACATTATAAAAACATGCCAACACTGCTATACCGAAATTTTTTGTTCCATGTTTGACATTTGTGGCTATAATCAGCTTGTACTTTCGGTAAATTCTACCTTTTTTTAATTCCATGTTATTATATTAGGCGACCATCAATACATTCCATCATTTTATTCAGAATTAGGCAACCATATATACATTTATTCCAATCTAGGGACATTTTAATGTTCAATTTAGGGAGGACAAAAATTTTCACCTGGCAACTCTGGAGTAAGTAGTAGTAGTAGTAAGTCAAGTCTAGACCAGTTGCAGTTATCACCGCGTCATTCCCCCACCAAAATGCGCCCCACCAACATAGAAAACGAACGTGACGTGATAGAAGAAAAGTAAAATCACCAAATCTGGTGAATTTTCACCAGACCTGGCAACCTTGACTAAAACATTTCTTGTTGAATATCAACGGTTTCTTGTTTGCTTCACTTCAAGGTGGTAATAGGTGTGCACACTTAGTTCTACCGGATAATATCGAACGTAGTAAGCTTTATCGAGTTTGTGTCCATGGTCTCAGTATTCCGCCCGTCTCACTGTACCTACCTCTCCCCTACCCGCTAGATCCACTCGGCAAAGCATGACCGACACTACGATTTTACCGTTTTATTAAATTCTAAAAAGAATATTTTGTTGAAAATTCGATAATGTTAATATACATAATATTTTTTGCAGAGTATTCAGAAATGCTTAGTATGTCCTGAGGTGAAAAGAAGACCATCACAATCGAAATTACCGTTTCCAGACTGGGATCACGACTGCGACACATTTTACAATTAATAGAACAAGATTTAATTTAGTTTTGATACTCAAATAAAGTCAATTTTATTAAGCGAATTTCGTATAAGCCATTTTTCGAAGTAGAGAAGAATACTCTTAATATAACCGGATATCATGTGCCCTTATTGCATGCTCATACTTATACTTTTCATAGTTTCTCTCTATGTTTTATACACTAAAATAGCATAATACAAGTTTATACAACTCAAATATGGAGTTTTTTTTATAGTTCTATAGTTGGTTACAGACGAGGGCGGCCCTATAACTATTTAGAATATAGAAGAAAAACGGAAATTTGGGAAAAATAATGATTTATTTCTCAACAAACCTTTTTCAAAACAAACAAGTCAATACACTTGACCCAGCGATGCTCCAAACTCTTTAACCCGTCTCAAAAATACGTTTTCTTAAAGTCTGCAAAGTAGGCCTTGGAGGCAGCGATGGCCTCCCCATTCGACTGAAATTTTTGCTCGTCGAGAGACTTTTTTAAGTTTCAAAAAATCGCAAGGGGGCAAATCTGGAGAATACAGTGGATGTAGCAGCAGTTCTTAGCCTTATTCGATCAATTTGACCATGGCGACGACAGAGGTGTTTGCCAGTACGTTTTCATGGTTTTAGAGCACTCTTTTCTCTGTCAGATAGGGAAGTTTTTTCTACAATCGGCGTCAAATCGGCTCAATAATTCGGCATAGCAAAGCCCTGTGAACCTTTTGCCCTTCTCCAAGTAGATAACGACTTATCAATCCCAGAGAACGTTCGCTTTCAACTTCCATGATCATGAACGACGCAGAAACTTCTTCGGATTGTACTTTGAAAAGCGTCAAACATTGCTCTAAAGTGGTCTTATGGGTCCGTTTGTTGCCCGGAGTGAATAAACGTGACATCCAACGCGCTGACAACTTTCTCATGCTCAATATTTCATGCAGGATATGACCACGTAGTTTTAGAAACTAAAGTAAATTCAACTTCAAGCTACGGACGATATCAACAAATGCAAATGAACTTCTGATGAAAAATGCTCTTTCCATCTCTCTACTTGGTCATTGTTGTAGTACGTAATTCCCCTGTCTCGGATCTTACAATATTTGAACAGTTGGGCCCAATTTTTGTTAGTCGTCTAGTAATTTGGTATAGCTCTCTAGTTCTGTTGTGTTGTGCAGCTGTTTCAGCTTGTTTTGTCATTTCTTCAGCCCACCTTCTTTTGTCTCTTCTTGCATTCCTTTTAACTGCTTTATTTATTGTTTCATATTCTTGTTGTTGCTCTTTCTTCTTCAGTTTTTGCTTGCATATCTTTCTTTTGCTGTTTTCTTTCCTCGATAAGATTCCAAGTTTCATCTGATATCCATTCTTTTCTATGTTTCTCTTTTTTACCCAGTCTATCTTCAGCTATTTCTGTCAAAACAGAATCTGACTCATCAACAGACGTCTGTTGATAGTTTCAAGTAATCTAGTTTTGAAATATGAAATAGAATAAAAAGAAGAATCACAAAAATTCGAAAAATGATATAAAAATATATTTTGTCAGTTTGGGTTTAGTGTAAGTCAGTGGAACTTCAGTGATGACAATTTTTAAATGATTTTTGGTCACAATTTGTTATTTATCTAGGTAAACGACTGTTTTCGGAAGCAATTTATATAAAAACCGTTACAATATTATGTTACATATGAACGAAAGCTATTCCACAATCACAGAACACGAAAAATACCTCTAGTTGTTCTTACATAGTAAAGGAAACAATAAAAGTACTCACTGCCACTGGTACGACGAAACGCTTGGCGACGGGACCTCGGTCAGATCCAGATTGTCCAAACTAACACACTGCTCTACGGTGGTAAAGAAGTCGGTGGCTTCCGACGCTACTTCGGCACCTTGTTCGTTTTTAACGGGAGATTCTATGTCGGACATCACTAAAATGGGAGGTAGATGAATGGCGTACAGTAGTTTTAGTCTTTGGGTTGCATCTGCTGTGCAGGTAAGTCCCAGAGCCGTGACCAGTTCTTTAAAGTTGAGGTAACTATCTTGGTTTTGGTCCATAAGCTGTAAAAATTATAAAACTATACTCATCAAATATACACAGACTTGAATATGCGTCTTTGATTACACAGAAACTTTTGATTCTATATCAAACCAAAACGTAATTGAGATCCTTAAATCGATCAGAATCGACACAAAATAGAAATATCACCTATGCACTGTATTAATATCAAAATTAGGAGTCACAATTGAAGAACAATTTCTGCTCAACTCCGGCAAGAGTGAAGGAATATAGTAAACTCCGCCAAGACTCACTTAGCGTAGTAGAGCCAGGAACGAAGAAGAGGAAGAATAATGTAGGAAGAGGTACAACAATGCATCCTGTTTCCCCTCCTGGATAGCAACCAACAATAGATATAAAAATTAAACAATCTCTATACAGGGTGCTTTAAAAAAAAGTAACACCATCTCTAGGATACGTAAAAAACTAAAAAAATTGGTTCTGCTTGGTAAAAAATTTTTGTAACGCCATCCGTTTTCAAGATAAATGTTGAAGAAAAAAAAATGTTACACATATTTTACGATTTGACCAAAACTACTGGCAACATTGTAATGAAATTTTATACGAATATGTTTTGGAAGTTGATACATCCCATGAATTTGTTTTTATATATGACTTTATATGTGGCTAATTACAAGGTTAGTCCCAAGTATTAGTCAACATAACTTTTTTGGTAGAATTAATAATCAACATTCCAAGTTAACTTAAACATCATACAATTTTACACCAAAAAGCTACTCTTTGAGTACACAACACAACATGGTATAGACCATAAAACGGTGGCCTTTATTAAAAACCTATATTGGAATCAAATGGTGTTGATTAAAATAGACAATCGTAAACAAATGTTGAAAAGAGGAAATCGCCAGGACTGTGTACTTTCTCCACTATTGTTTAATATATATTCCGAAAAGATATTCCAAAATGGCCTCGAAAATATTGAAGAAGGCCTGAGGGTTTACAACGACTTTTGAATGCCATAACCGGAAAAGGAAATAGCTTGGGGCTGAATATAAACACAAATAAATCAAAAGTAATGGTGGTTACGAAGAACCCAAGGCCAAGGGTTAGACAAAACGTAACAATCAATGAATACAACTTTGAAGTCGTCAAAAAATTCAAGTACTTGGGAACGATCATAACATCTGAAAATAGTTAATTACTATTAAACTGGGAATAAGCCACAATTAAAGATAAAAATACGTTTATTGACGTTTCAATTTCCACTTCGGAAATCGTTCTCAAAATACAAACAGTAAATTAAACAAATTTTGTTTTTTGTTACATAGTGAAAAATTCTTCTAATAATTTAATTTTATCTGACTCATTTATATTGACAATTCAGACATACATTATGCATTTTAAAGTAGACGACTTTAAAATGATATTGCCAATATTGTTGAGTTGCGCTCCTGGGACGACTATACTTATAAGATAGTTCATTCGATTACATGAAATCAACTTTAACTTGAGAATATCCGTCAGAAAAAAATCATAGCATGTAATTCGTCTTTTAAAAAGACAAACACATGACATGATGACAGTAAAATTCTCCTGTTAGTGATTCCATAGTAAATTATGAGGGAAAAAACCAGGAAAAAAACCTCATAATACTATCCCGACATTGTAAGTATTTGTTCGTGAATTTAGTTTACCTTCAACAAACATCAAAATTCTGATTTTATATGTTACGTTATTTAAAAAACATAAATGATGTATCCTCTATATGTTACTGACTTACTAATACTGGTATTTTCTTATTAATAACTTCCTCTTTCAATATTGGTAACCAGATCCTACTACATTCTGCCGAGGAATTTGCGACACAATTGGCTTCATTTAGCATAATTAGAGCCGCTTCTTCGATTTTTCTTTTTTTACCATCCGTTTCTTTTAGGACTACATTTGAATTATTCCATTGAACCTTATGTTCATTATCCCATGCGTGTTTACAGATTTGAGATCTATCAAATTCTCTATTTTTAATATAGGATTGATGTTCACTTATTCTAACATTTAATGGCCTTGATGATTCACCTAAATAAAACTGATCGCATTCACAAGGTATTTTTATAAATGCAATTCTTTGTCCTTTCTTGTTCATTGTTAGGTTTGGTTTTGGACAAAATAGATCTCAACGTGTTTGTTGTTTTGAATGTTGTTGAAATGTTGAATTTATTTCCTATCCTTTTAAGTTTTTCTGATAATCCTTTTATGTACGGTATTGTTATTTTCCTCATATTATTTCTTGTGTATGTTCAAATATAATTATAATATAATTCACGAACAAATACTTACAATGTCGGGATAGTATTATGAGGTTTTTTTCCTGGTTTTTCCCTCATAATTTACTATGGAATCACTAACAGGAGAATTTTACTGTCATCATGTCATGTGTTTGTCTTTTTAAAGACGAATTACATGCTATGATTTTTTTTCTGACGGATATTCTCAAGTTAAAGTTGATTTCATGTAATCGAATGAACTATCTTATAAGTATAGTCGTCCCAGGAGCGCAACTCAACAATATTGGCAATATCATTTTAAAGTCGTCTACTTTAAAATGCATAATGTATGTCTGAATTGTCAATATAAATGAGTCAGATAAAATTAAATTAGAAGAATTTTTCACTATGTAACAAAAAACAAAATTTGTTTAATTTACTGTTTGTATTTTGAGAACGATTTCCGAAGTGGAAATTGAAACGTCAATAAACGTATTTTTATCTTTAATTGTGGCTTATTCCCAGTTTAATAGTAATTAATTCACAATGCCACAAGAAAATAGCTTCAGAACAATATCTGAAAATAGATATGAAAAGGACGTGGCAGTCAGGATCATTGCAGGAAACAGGGCATATTACTCATTAATGACCGTATTTAAATCAAAAATACTCTCAATACCAGCAAAAATAAGAGTGTATAAGACAATAATTCGTCCCACAATAACGTATGGAAGTGAAACATGGACTCTGAACCAGCGGGAAGCGACAGAATTACTGGTACTGGAAAGAAAAATACTGGGGACTATCTATGGGCCTTGCCGAGAAGAGACAACAGGAGAATGGAGAAGAAGACACAATGATGAACTCCAGACAGTATACGGGGAAGAAAACATAGTACGCTACATTAAAGCAAACCGAATAAGATGGGCGGGCTACGTGCTAAGATAGAGTGACGAAAGACTCCTAAACGCCACATTCTGGGAAAGGTCCAATAGTAGTTCAGTTGGTCGCCCAAGAAAGAGATGGAATGACCCAGTAGCCAGTGATTTACGCAAAATGGGAATACAGCAATGGGAAATAGCTGCCAAATGAATGAATGAACAACGAACAGATAGAAGCCGTACAAAAATTCCAGTATCTTGGTTGCTAGATAACAAACGATCTTCACTACGAAGTTGAAATACATGCTCGTATAGAGTATGCTAGAACCGATTTTCAAAGAATGAAAAAATTCCTAATAAACTCTACCTTATCGTTGGATATCCGATACCAATTTGTAAAAACGTTTATTTATTCCACATTCCTATATGAAGTGGAAACATGGACTTTCGGAATCACAAGTATGAAAAGCCTTTTGGGATGTAGGTTTTTTCTAAGGATGCTGAAGATCTTTGTTACAGAGCACGTGACCAACAACGAGATGCTGAGAAGAATGGGTACTGAGAGAGAAATCCTAAATATTGTAAAAACCAGAAAAAACGAGTTAATAATACTACTAATAGTGGAATGGAAACTGGAAGGAACGAGAGGCCCAGGAAGAAGAAAATGCTCCTGGTTGAAGAATGTAAGAAACTGATAGCGAATAGTTTGCTGTAGTTATAGCCAATCTTCAGTAATGGAAAGGGCACCTTAAGAAGAAGATTTGAAACAGTCATCAGTGAATATTGAGCCGCCGCCATTTTGAGACGTTGTAATAGAATAACCCAAAAATCTAGGAACATACTGAGTGATACAAGAATTTATAAAAACAATATTACTTGCCATATGATCATAATTTTAAAATATGTCACCCGTCTGACATTTTTAATGATTACGTAACTAAAACATGATAAAAAGAGGAGGTACCGTTGCTTAGTTACTCAACAATTTATTAATTTTAATTTTGTGGTTCAGCAAACAATTAAAGACAGACTTTCGACACGCGCTGTACATATGAAAATTTTACTTACCATAAATATTCTGGCAGCCAATAATTCGGCCGTTTCTCCTTTTCCCCAAGGAGACAACGCAGCGAATAAAATTTTGAAATAATCGAAATCTACTTTGTAAGCTTCGTAAGGCTGCAGCGAGGGATCATGCTTGTCCGGTATACATTTATTTTGGCTGATTATCTCTTCTCTAACCAGGGACAGAAGATCCTGAAATGTACTCTAATATAATGACAGTAATTTATCATTTGAATAAAGTTTACAACCCAAAAAAACGCAGCGGAGAAAATTTTGATCAAATTCAAAGTATTTCATTTTTTTTATTTTTAGCCCTATTTTGATGGTTTTTTAGCACACTGTGTATAAATTTATAAATTTTAATTTGGTATAGCCAGTTTTTTGATAAAATTTTATATTAGACTTATTGTACAGGGTTAACTAAAATGTGGTTTTATTATCCTAACTTTGAAACATCCTGCAGAATAATTCCGTTTTCGAATTGTCGTAAAACCGTATTTTTCGGTTGCATTGTGTTTTTTGTTTCATGTCAAAATATGCCTTAGTTCATTTTTTAGAGCCAAATAAATTTGCCACCAACAATTTAGGACTTTTTTAATTATGATTATTTTGGAGTAATTTTGTAATACGACGAGGTGGCTTTGGTGACTGTTACCATTATATCATATTGACACTTACATTTTGTTTACCTATGATTGATCATGGTACTTAGTGTCGAAGATTGTGCAAAAGCCGTTGATCTGGTTGAAGATGGGCGAAGTTATGAATATGTGTCCATAGTACTACACTTTGCGGGATTGTCATTTAACCGCGGTGCAAACAAGAAATCAGCTTCAAGAAGTGCGAGGCAATAATGTAAGTGTAATTGGGCCCAAATTACTTCCACGGCACAGAGTAGCTAAACTACAATTTTCCAGGGAAAATTTACATTAGAATTTAGGACAATGGAGTAATGTTTTTTCTACAGATGAGTCAAGATACTTTAGCAAATTACGTAGTACCCTTTTCTCAATATATTGGCGATGATTTTCTATGAATGCAAGATAATGCGCGACTCCACTGCAATGTGTGTCACGCATGGACGTATAAACACAGATGGACTCAGTTAGTTACATAAAATTGTGTAGTCAAAATTATTTGAATAGGTCACATTCTCAGCACCTTCAACTGTTGTCACGTTTTGTTTTAAAATTTCTTATTCGCGTGTCGCTGAAAATATTACTCCGTATTTTATACTCTACAGGTGCTATCAAACCAAAATAATAATTTATTGCTTAGATTAATATATTTAATTGTAATCAAAATATCAACTGTGCACATAGTGTGCATTATCATTTAATAATAGCGTATAATAGATATCAATCAATTATTTTATATGAAGAAGCACTGAAAACTATTTATAAATGGCTACGGTTGTTTACATTTCTCTGTCTTATGGATCTACGTCAAACTTCAAATGCTGTTCCATGTTTGTTTACTTTTTACAGTAGATGACGAAAAGTTGTTTTTCGATATTTTGGCTATATTTTGAATGATATTTGTGAAAAGTGAAATAAAATAAACGAAATATTTATATCCCGATCTCTCATTTCATTTTTAAGTACATACAATTTACATTATTTAAGATGAGAAAATGAGGAAGCGTGTTTGTTTACATTTTAATAGGCGTACCATTGGGTTTATTCATGTTCATTAATGTATTGAATAAGATATGACTTCATGAAATTAGTAGACATTTTTAAATTGTAAGTAGACATCATCTGATTTAAAAATATCTGTTTAGTACCTTTTTAATTTAATATTTCCCATGGATACAAATAAATTAGTGAAATGAATAAAACTCATTTATTTTTCTATGTAGGTTTCCAAATAATATTGACGATCGAACTGTTTGGGTAGCAAATTTAGGAGAAAACATAAAGATTTTTTATTGTAGCAATATTTTGATACCTATTAAAAAATTAACTTGAATTCAACTATATTTAATTGTATTAATTTTAAAGCAAATAAAATTGTATTTTAATTTTTCTATAAAGACGTGATTTGTTAATAGTTAAACTCTCGTTTTTTTTTTAATTCTTTGAACGTGTTTTTATACATTATTACTACTTCCAATTTTTAAAATTTGAATAATTACCCGCGTGTAAAAATTCAAGCACGCTTATGCTCATTGCGGAAGCATCACATTATATCGAAGCTTCAAAACATTGTGTGTTAAAGGTATCTTATTGCTGTGTCCATCTATGTTTATACGTCCATGGTGTCACGCAATATTTAGAGAAAGTCGGTATTAGTAAAATAAACTGGCCAGCGTGTTCGCCAGATCTGAACCCCATACAGCACGTTTGGGACATGCTTGGTAGAAATATTAAAGGTCGCGAAGTCGCACCAGCCTCAATTAACGAACTTCGCTTGGCTCTAGAAGAGGAATGAAAAAATATCCAGCAAGATGATATTCACAACCTCATAGACATCATGAGTGGACGTGTACAGGCAATTATAGAGGCTAGGGGAGGCAACACAAAGTATTAAGTTATTTTTTATTAGTTTTTCTTTGTTATTTCCGTACTTAGGTTAAGTTACGTTTAAGTTGTATTTTTATGTTTTGTTATTGTTATCATTATCATTGACAGTGGGCCAAAAAAATCATCAAATAAATAATTCATTCCTCAAACTCATAAGCTGAAAATTTATCTAGGACCGCGCCATGTAGCCCCATATCTAATTACCGGATCTTGGCATCGTTTTGTCAATAAGATTCTTGCCTTCTCAGAAATACTCATATGCTAGCTTACGTTGTCTAATAGCAAACCGTTATCTTTTAAGAACCTATAAAACGAATTCTCAGCCTTTTTTAAAATTATGAAACACACATTTACTAAAGCTATTCATGTGGCTACCGCTGTTTTCTCTAGCAAAAGTTGGAAGTTTTGTTTCCATCTTCCTTCATTAATATGCCGATGTGGGTCCTTTGAGAGCGCTTTTTGTAGCCTGGAGGCCAAAGAAAAATCTTCGATTTCCTCACAGAAGATTCTCCAAGCAGCTCTTTGTCTTTGTCTGCAGACTTTTAGAACTCTCAGAGATTTGATTGATAAGAATCCCAATACCCGTTTGAGTTTGATGCGTTTCGCTCTATTTAAAAGCTGTTCTTGCTATCTTCCTAAGGTGTTTCAGTTTAGTGCACCACCAAGAGTTAGTTTTGCGACTTTCCTGGACCATCCTTATTGGACAGGATTTTTTATAAACATAGCTTATTTTGTTTTGGATAGATACCGTATACCTTTCCAATTCTGTATTAGTCCCTGGAGTTAAGCCTTTTCATTCCACAGAGCATCTTCTAAAAGATGATTTAATTCGTAAACTCATTAAAATGAAATATTTTCTTTCATTAAATCTATCACACATTTTGTTAACGGCCAATAGAAACACCTTAGAACATTTAGTAAATTTTATTAAAGAAGTAAAAATGAAAATTTAAAGCAGCATAACAAACAACTCTGTATTTATATTATAAGAAAAGTTCTGTATAGAACTTTCTGTGGCAAATGGACTTGATTCCTTGCCATTATCTTTCCACACACACAATCTTCAGAACGTTACATATCTATAAAAAGAAGAAAGAAGAGCAACTGGTTACTTAGTTACATTAGTGGAGTACCAAGTACAACTCCACTAATATACTAAGATAAAAAATATCAAAAGTGGTAATTTCAAAGACTATTCTGCAAGAAAAACGGTCAGCTTCTACTCCTCGCTATTGTTTTCTTCTATTATAAACATAAATCTCGTCAGCTACGAATACGCAATGAGGTATTTAAGCACTTCTTACCTGCAACTCCTCCTGCGTGAAATATCCATCTGCAGATACACATCTCAAAACGTTCTTCTCGGAATTGTCTTCCAATTCTTGGACTACCCTTAATCGGTGCTTTAATCGAAGTCGCTCTATTTGCCCAGTTGTAATAAAGCCGTATTTTCTGTATGCTTCGTATATTAAAGCCTGGACAGATATACTCTGAAAAATAAAAAAAAACATTTAACCGTTTTTATATAGATCTAATTCTTTAGGCAGCCTAATTCTTACTAAAAATAATGATTTCTCTCCTATAATAAAATATGACTTTCTGTTAAATGAATTCAAACTCGGAAAGTTCAACGATTGTCTCTCAAAACTTCAGTACAACATAGTTAGCTTACAAAGGCGCCACCGTTTGCGCCACGGCGCTTTGGCGGCCGTTCACGGCCGCTAAAGCAGGTGGCGCCTTTGCAATGCAGGTGATCATAACACTTTATTGATACCGATTCGAGCACGGGAAGTTGTAAAGCTAACGAATTTGTCCTCCTAGGCCATAATATATATATATATATATATATATATATATATATAAATATATATATATATATAAATATATATATATATATATATATATATATATAAATATATATATATAATATATATATATATATAAATATATATATATATATATATATATATATATATATATATATATATATATATATATATAATAAAATTCAGGATACTTGGTTAGAAAATTTAACAAATGTAGAAATTCCTATTGACGTACAAGATGTTTTAAGTTTAGGAGATAATTTTGCAGTTCCCATCCGTAATAAAAATGATATTCCAACATCAGAAATTATTTGTTCAATTGAGAGTTCAATTCCTAACTTAAGTACCAATGTACAGGATGATATCAGAACTACATGTTGCAACATTTTGACAAACTTTAAAAACAAAAACAAATACCCTTTTGAAAACAAAACAATACAAAAGAAAATAAAAAAGATAAAAGCTTTTTTACACGAGGAAAATATACATAATGCTGTAATTCCAAAAATATACAGTCTACCCAAAACACATAAAGAGGGTGTGCCGCTGCGACCTATTGTTTCATGCATTCAGTCTCCTTTTGAAAACCTTTCAAAATATTTGAAGAACATTATTTCCAACGTAATAAATAAAAATCCACACTATGTAAAAGACGCTGATCACCTGAAATTAAAACTCAAAAATATACATTTACCTCCAAATTATAAATTAGTTTCTCTCGATGTGGTATCTTTATACACCAATATTCCAATAGGTTTAGCGAAAGACATTATTAAAAAAAAAGTGGAATGAACTCAAAGCATTCACAGACATCTCTCTAGAAGAATTTCTGCTAGCAGTCGAAACAACATTAAAGTCAACCTATTTCCAATATAAAAACAAAATCTTCCAACAAACAGATGGATGTGCTATAGGTGCTAGCATATCCAGTGCCATCGCTCAATTAGTTTTAGAGCATCTAGAGGAAATTGTTTTAAATAAAATAGATTTTGATATACCTTTTTTCTATCGCTATATAGATGACTGCTTGAGTGCAGCGCCAGAGGATAAAATGGATAATTTACTAAATGAATTCAATAACTTTCACCAAAAACTAAAATTCACATTAGAAATTGAAAAAATTATCAAATTAATTTTCTGGACCTGACCTTGCATAGAGAAAACAGACTATAACTACTTCATGGTACACCAAAAAAACCTGGGTCGTCGAGATATCTAAATTTCAACTCTCATCATTCCCTGTCTCAAAAGAAATCAGTAGTTATCGGACTCGCTGATAGAGCTATTAGATTATCCGATCCTATCAATAGACCTCAGGCCATTAAAAAAGCAAAAACAGCACTAACACTTAATTCATATGCACACCACCTTATCGACAACACTTTCAAATCGCGACTGCATAAATTTTACAATAACAATAATAACAATGAAACCAACACGGTAAAGAAAAACTATATGTCTCTCCCCTATATAAAAGGATTATCAGAACAAATTGCAAATCTTCTGTCTAAACATAATATTACGGTTGCTCATAAAGGACACAATCTTTTGAAAAGGAATTTTATAAGATTGAAAACAAAAACCCCTCTATTAAAAAGATCGCATGTTGTATATGAAATTCCTTGCTCGAATTGTGATGGAGTTTATATTGGACAAACCAGTCAGCTACTTAATTCAAGAATACGTTCCTACAAATATGACAAAAAAAACTCAACCGCCCTCACAAAACATGAAAACGAAAAAAAAAACATAAATTTGATTTTGAGAAAACCAAGATCCTAAAAAGTGAACCCAACAGGAAGAAGAGACAGCTTCTAGAGTCTATACAAATAAAAAATAATAATAACGCAATAAATGATAAAAAAGATGTCAAAAATTTGAACAAAATATATTTTAACTTAATTTAAAAACACATAAAAAGTTAATCTCAGAACGCCTATGATGTTAAAATAACTGATTGTTTAAACGATAAACTAACATCAATAAACAACACATTAGATTTAAAATACATTTTACATGTAGTGACTTAGTGGGTATGTCCTATGTTTTAATATTATTTTAATTGTGACGTCTACTTGTTAATACCGAATTTTTACATGCTTGGTAAGTCAAAAGTTTAACTTTTAAACCGTATTATGTCTGTCATAAAATGTTTTTTTAGTCAATATTATTTCTTGAAAAAGGCATGGATTTCTTGCCTAAACGTCGAAAAAAAAATATATAAAAATGTCTTAGTATCAAACTAATTTTTTTTATGAACCTAAGCCCAAGAGAATCCACTAAAATTATATATATATATATATATATATATATATATATATATATATATATATATACATATAGTTTATATTTAAAGATAAAATATTTATAATATAAAATAAAAATCTACTCACCCTCTTTTGATCATCATAAACTTTGTTTCTTATAGCTCCTCTACCTTCGTCATTGAAAACTCCGATCAAATAATCTGACAGCAACTGCATCGCTTCCCCTGTAAACATTTTCGAATTTATTTAACCGTTCTTTCATTAAAATCAGTAAGGGATAAAGGAGTGGAAGAGGCGTGATGACGTTCTATTGCGCATGCCTTTCACTAAGTCTTTTTTAGTGGGCAGAAATCTCATACTATCTCCTCAGTGACATAAAATACCTTTTTTAACGAATAACTTATGACATTATATGAAAGTACTAACAGAGATTGTTATCAATAAACAAGGTTAACTGTTAGAAAGATGTTCGTGTTAAAATTGATATTATAACCTTAACATAATGGTGCTGATATTAACATTTAAATAATTCTTGGGTGTTTGTTTAAAAGTCGGTTAGATTATAAGTTACTTACCTTCGTCTCGGCATTCAAGAAGTTTCTCCTGATTCCACTCGAGCAACATAAGAGCTACTTGAAAAATGACTTTGGCACTATCATAGAAGAAACAATCCATAATGTTAACGGCACTTTCGTAAGGCATCACGCATAAAAATATTGTCAGGAACCACGATAATGAGATCATGTTAATCATACCTGAAAAATTTCAATAATTTGTAATATACTTAATGTAAAATACAAAGAAATTGTGTGTAACAATGATATTGGTAATATCAGGATGGTCTTTAATAACTGGGACTGTCTGGAACTCACTCGACAAAGCATGTGTCTGTCAAGGGTTCGAGATTACCAAGTAACGGCACTCTGACGTCACGAGCAGGCCTAGAAACCTGTCAAACAAGTCATCGTTCCGCTGAGAGTCTTCGATGAAATTCCAGAACAACGTGACAAAAATTATACGAAGATAAATTGAAATTGTAGAGAGTTATAGAGACGAAAAAAAATTTGTAGCGTTAAGTAAAATATGTTATAAATTAATTGTGTTTTTAGTGTTAGTGTAAATAAATTAAAATAAGTGTTAAAATACTGTAAATAAATAAAAAGAACAGTAGAGTATTTTTTGCATTAAGGAATACTTTCTTTTGCAGCTTGTATTAGGCGACATTGTATTTTGACTACATCTCGTTTATTTTTTCTTCTTTTGTTACTGGGTTTGTGTTCAATTTTGCTTCTAAGCCTTATTTACATAACCATTTTATGTTATGGTCTAATAGAGGCTCTATGTATGATTTTTCAGAGTATTTGCATGTTTTTTTTTCAGCGTAGCAATTTTACAATCATATTATAATGATGAGTTGTAGGGATATCGATCAGAATAAAATAATACTACATTATCTTTACAAGATATTAAACCAGAACACCATATAATGTCCATTAAGATGCTCAAAAGGAGTTTACAACTACGTAACCGATAAATAAAGTAGGAATACGAATAAATGTGGTTGTCTCAATGTATGAAATTTTAGAAAAACCTTTCTTTAAATAACATCTCCAATATCATAAACTAATAACATCCAAATTAAAGAACCCGATAGCGCGTTTTCACTGAAGCTGTATGCTCCACTTAGGAGTTCAAGAACCTTATATATAAATAACATTTCGGTATACGAACATGAAAGTCTAACAGTATGGGTAAAGATGTTGCCTTCAATAGACCAATTCTAAACAATAATATACGGAGTAACATACAATCTTGGTTTAGTTTTTCTCCTAACAAAAAGAGTTTTGTCTAGTACATCTTACAATTTTACTTACCTAATTGATTGAGTTTATCATGCAGACTTGGCAAATGCTCGAGGATCAGTTCATCTAAAATTCCTTGATCTACGACTGCTCCTACTACTCTAGTGTTATAATAATCGGGCAAGAGATTCTCGCACAACGTGGCCAACAGCCAGAAGGCTTCTTCTTCATTGCAGTATATCAAAAGGACGGAAGCTAAATATTATAAATGTGTTAATTTATGAAAAAATTAAAATAAAACTGTTTTCATTTGAACTGTATTTTAAATGCTAGTTTTTTACAGTGGTTTTGTTATTTACAAAAATATGTCACGACTGAATGACAGTCAGACCACTAAAAGCGTGTATTGAACAGATATAGTTAGACAAGCAAACTTATTTTAATAATAAAATGATAAATGCGCAGAATAGTACGGCTGAGGCTTGGCGCATCATAAATCGAAACACTGTCGGAGGTAAAAATCGAAAATCTTCTAAATACCCAAGTAAACTTAAAAATAATTTTGGAATTTCTGTGGATGACCCTCATGACATAGCAAAATCCTTCAGTCAACATTTTTCGAATTCCGTAAAAAATTTAATTAGTCAAACTTCACCTGACTATACTCCTAAGAATCTTTCTTCGCCTATACACTCCCTTTTCCTTTATCCTGTTAGTGATGAAGAAATAAAAAGTATAAGTAAAGATATCTCAAAAAAATCCTCGGCTAGACTGGATGAGATCCCGTATTCTATGTTATCACATGTATTTCATAACATAGATAAACAATTAACATTTCTAGTAAACCTTTCATTTCAGGAATGGATCTTTCCTCAAATTCTAAATACTGCTTTAGTTGTGCCTATACATAAGAAAGGTGACAAATCAAAATTTGATAACTATCGAGGCCTATCACTTTTATCTGTGTTTTCAAAAATATATGAGATGGCATTTCATACACGTCTCCTCTCGTATATAAACAAGCATAACATTATAGAAAAGTCTCAATTTGGTTTCCGTGAAGGTATAAGTGTGCAAGATGCACTACTAGCGTTGTGCAAGCATATTTTATCGAACTTTGATAAGGGTAATAAAGTTACCTGTTTGTTTTTTGACAGCACCAGCTTTTGAAACTGTAAATCATCCAATACTGCTGGAAAAACTTTATCATAGTGGTCTTAGAGGAACTGCGTTAAAGTGGATCCACACCTTTTTCTCGAAAAGGTTTAAAAAAATTAAGGTCAATGTGAATGGGAATATAATATTTGCTTCAGAAGAAAGTGTCCTCTCCGGAATTCCACAGGGAAGTATCATTGGCACTCTTTTATTTTTGATTTTCGTCGATGATTTAAATCAACTGATAGATGATAGCTCAACATGTTTAGTTCGGAATCCATTCGATAATTTTTCTGATGCAATAAGCGTTCGAGTAGAAAACTGTTCAGAAAAATCAGGCTGCTATGTCACTCAATTTGCTGGCGATACCACAAATGCACTAAATTCCAATATTTTTTTCATGTAGTACAAAAAGCAAATTGTCTTGTAAAAAGTATCACTCATTACTGTAAATAATGCCCTAATCTTAAACGGATCAAAGACCAATATGGTAACCTTTTCACCTTCTACTGCTATGCAGATAAGTTCATTAGTAAAACTTGACATTGGGTCTGTGATAAATAGCCAATCCACTAAGTTGTTAGATGTTTACCTGGATTCTAATTTGTCTTGGAGCTCTCACGTTGATTATGTAATGGGAAGATTGTGCAATGTTATGTTCTATGGCAACTTAGGAATTATGTCCCCCTAGATATCTTAAAACTTTACTATTTTGCTCATGTACAGTCAATTTTGCAATATTGCTGAGTTTTTTAGGGAAATTGCTCGCGAATTAATGAGGTGCTTGTCCTTAAAAAAAATTATTCGTACCATGGCGTTTAGAAGGCGGTTGGATTCCTGTAGACCAGTTTTTAAACAATTAAATATTTTAACTGTAATTTCGTTGTATATTTTCAGTTGTGTTGTTTATGTAAAGTCACATAGATGCAATTTTATTTGCAGAAATGATGTTTCCTTAATGAATGGATACAATTTTCGTTACAGAAATGATTTCGTGACCCCTATTCGTCACTTGACCGTTGTGGGCAAATGTCCTTACCCAACATGCGTACGTTTGTATAATAAATTACCTAATTATGTTAAAGAGTCAAATATTTATGTATTTAAGAGAACAGTTAAGGACTTACTTCTGGTAAACACTTTCTATTCGTTAGATGAATACTTGCAGTCATCTTTTTAACAATTTGTATGTTTTTATGTTAACTGTTTTTATGTACTTATAGTTTTTACTGATCGATTGTATTTTGACGCATTTCAATACTGGTAAAAGTCAAATGAAATAAAGAATACTGATGGATTGATTGATAACGTATTAGAATATCGGCCTAATAAAATGTTTCAGCGAACCTCAATAAAAATCTTTGAACAACTGAAAGATATGTATGAAAACCACTACAGAGAAAAATATCTGAAGAAAAAGATTTCAAAAAGTAATTTTTAGTTATTATATTTGTATAATAAAAGTAATGTTCTTACCAACAATGTTCATAGCCTGACAATAACCAATACTGGGATTGTGAAGAGCGTAGGCGCAAAGAACCCTCCTCAGAGCATCAATTCCTATGGTATTTTGAAAGGCAGGATGTTCGGGCAAAGATCGATGCAAATCTCTTTCTATTTCATCGTTAGCCGTAGACTGTTGGACTAAAGCTTTATCGACTAATTTTCGGTAATAACCAGGATGGGAAGATTTTTCGTGAGCAGCACCTGAAATATTACGATTTTAAAGTTAACATTTTTGAACTTCTCAGAGACTACTACTTTTAAATAGGAAAAAAAGAAGGGATGAGTACGATATCCTTCTGTCAAATATTCAGTGACTAAATCAATTTAAAATGGATTGTTTATATGCTGATTATAAGGAGTCTGATTTGAAATTTCTTTGTATGACTGAGACGTGGTCAGCAGATGTCCAGGTTATTCATTATAGTTTTCCAAATTTTAAAATTGTAAATTCTTTTAGTAGATCCCAATATAAATGTGGTGGCGTCGTAGTTTGGGCAAGGGATGATATGAAGGTTAGTTCCATTTTACTCGATTAGTACTGTGCTGAAAAAGACATTGAGGTATGTGGGCTGAATTGATATTATAATTCAAATCAACACAAATTTGATGTAATTTAAATTGATAATGTATTTAACTATCTATCTATCTACATTTTCTTTATCTCTATGAAGGTCAAAATCATGATGTATGCATATTGATTTTAGACTTCGCTTTTTTAAACCATGCTTTGTTTTTTAGCAGCAATTGAGATTGAAAAACGTCCCGAGTGTTTCAACAAAAGATATGATACTCGACTAACCTTTTACTTAATTACTATTAAACTGGGAATAAGCCACAATTAAAGATAAAAATACGTTTATTGACGTTTCAATTTCCACTTCGGAAATCGTTCTCAAAATACAAACAGTAAATTAAACAAATTTTGTTTTTTGTTACATAGTGAAAAATTCTTCTAATAATTTAATTTTATCTGACTCATTTATATGGACAATTCAGACATACATTATGCATTTTAAAGTAGACGACTTTAAAATGATATTGCCAATATTGTTGAGTTGCGCTCCTGGGACGACTTTACTTATAAGATAGTTCATTCGATTACATGAAATCAACTTTAACTTGAGAATATCCGTCAGAAAAAAATCATAGCATGTAATTCGTCTTTAAAAAGACAAACACATGACATGATGACAGTAAAATTCCCCTGTTAGTGATTCCATAGTAAATTATGAGGGAAAACCAGGAAAAAACCTCATAATACTATCCCGACATTTTAAGTATTTGTTCGTGAATTTAGTTTACCTTCAACAAACATCAAAATTCTGATTTTATATGTTACGTTATTTAAAAAACATAAATGATGTATCCTCTATATGTTACTGACTTACTAATACTGGTATTTTCTTATTAATAACTTCCTCTTTCAATATTGGTAACCAGATCCTACTACATTCTGCTGAGGCATTTGCGACACAATTGGCCTCATTTAGCATAATTAGAGCCGCTTCTTTGATTTTTCTTTTTTTACCATCCGTTTCTTTTAGGACTACATTTAAATTATTCCATTGAACCCTATGTTCATTTTCCCATGCGTGTTTACAGATTTGAGATCTATCAAATTCTTTATTTTTAATATAAGATTGATGTTCACTTATTCTTACATTCAATGGCCTTGATGATTCACCTAAATAAAACTGATCGCATTCACAAGGTATTTTATAAATGCAATTCTTTGTCCTTTCTTGTTCATTGTTAGGTTTGGTTTTGGACAAAATAGATCTCAACGTGTTTGTTGTATTGAATGTTGTTGAAATGTTGAATTTATTTCAATTAATTAATAGTAATTAATTTACAATGCTACAAGAAAATAGCTTCAGAAAAATAACCTTTTACTTCTCACACAAAAGAACTTGGCACATTTAAGTCATCACATAGTTCAGGACACTTCTGGTAAACTAGTCAGTATAGAATCTTCAGATTCTTATTTGTGAGTCAGGAAGACCAAAGTTTATAGTTTGACGGTGAATTTTAGGAAAAAAAGTTATATATGGTTTTACTTGTGTACGTAGATTGATTTTTAGACTTACCAGAAAACGACATCCATATTTCCATCCTCAAATGATCAGGTACACCTTGTAAGACTAGAGTAAAAACATCTGTCGTTCGGTACATAGAAACGCCTCGGCCGTATATGTTAAAATGCTCCTCCCAATCCCTCACTTTCTGTTCCTGTTTCTTATATACATCCGGGATGGGACTCAACGGGAACGTTCTCATCAGAGCTTGCTGGCACTTCCAGTCGCTGTTGCTTTTGGAATCTGCTGATACTTTTATCAATTTGAGCCTCTCAGTTAACTTGTTTCTGAAATTAATATGACTTAGACAAATATCATCACAAAATGTATCTACCTGCTTTAGCCATACACCGCATTGTGGGTTAAGACATTTGTATGAGGTGAAGAACAGTTTTAGAATTTGAAAATGTATGTGCGCACGATATGTCTCTCTCAAGAGATCATTTCATCATATTTACAACTATTGCAGCTTTTACTTATATATACAGTTAAGAATTAAACAATTTCCTTCACTTACCGTTTGGGTTCTTTGGTTTTGGCTAATAGTTCGGCGATTTTTTCTACGAGAAAGTCTCTATCTAGGATTTGTGCAAAAATAAAGTTTGTTCTGTTCAATGTGTCTCCGGTGGTCACGATGATGGCTTTGTCTAAGGGTTGATTTGATACATTGGTTTCTATTTTCTCGGTAACTACTATCTCTCTTAACGGAATCACCACGCTGACTTGGGCCTTTACCTGAACACATTTAGAAGTTTAAATCAAAATGCGAAGATGTTGCATTTCTGAGTGATTTGGCAACAATACATTTATTAATTGCGAAGAATTTTTAACTAGTTCTATAGTGTATTTTTATGTATGAGAGAGTAATAAAACAATAAATTATGTATGCAAATCCCTAAACTGTTGATACGGGTGACTCAATGAAAAACAGATATTTGTCAACAAGTTTACAGAAGTATATAGGAAAACAATTTTAAATTGAGTATGACCACCAGGTATAAAGGTTGGAGCAGAATATAATACAATAGTTGTGAGGGTTACTAATCCCTAAATAAGGTTGCCAGTGTCGGAGTGATGGAGGTTAACAGGTACTAATGAATTTGCAAGAAATGTAAGATGCTTATTTTATTGGTTATATATAACCAATAAAAGTTTAATAAGTACCTACCTATTTGCAAAATAAAGTTTAATTCTTTAGATAAAATAAAACGTTTTATTTTATCTGAAATAAGTGCATTCCACGAAGTAAGGGGTTTCAACAATCAAACATTTAATTCTTTAATTCCAGGAATCTACGACAGTAATTGACTAGATAATTACCTTCTAAACTTATTCCACAGAAAATGTGATAGTGGGTTTTTCCATTTTGTAGGAAGGTCCTAGTGGCGTATTCAAAATTCTTAACAGTTCACTAAAAGTAGGTACTTCAGTTGCAAGGTGCAGTTTATTGTGTATACTAGTGTTATGGAAAATTTGGAAGTGCCGTGTAAACGCCGAAAAATTGGTCCTTTAACAGTTAATGAAAAAACATTAATATTTAATTGTTTTAAATAATTTACAGACAAACGTTTATGTGAAAGTGTTGATGAGACCGTTGAGTTAGTTAGCAGTACACTTGGTGTTGGGAAATCTACGATTTACAGAGTTATGAAAGAAGAGAAATGTGGTAGTTTTCAAATGCCACGTAATGCTCCAGGGAAACCAAAATTTCAAATAGAATATCATTTTAAAGAAGGACTTCGACGGAAAGTGCATGAATTCTTCTTTAGACAAGAATTTCCAACATTGGATAAAGTTCTTGTCTCAGTTCGAGATGATAAGGATTACCCAGAAATGAGTCGAAGTACGTTATGGAAACTTTTAAAAGAAATAGGCTTCCGCTGGAAAAAGAATCCCAGAAAGTCTATTTTATTAGAAAGAAGCGATATTGTCATATGGAGAAGACATTTTCTAAGAACCATAAAGGAAATGAGAAACCAAAAAAGAAAAATATTTTATCTTGATGAAACATGGATCAACGAGGGTCATACACCAAATAAATTTTGGCAGGATGAAACTGTTACAAGTCAAAGGCACGCTTTTGTAAATAACTTATCTACTGGTTTAAACCCACCATCAGGAAAGGGACGCAGGCTGATAATAGTACACATTGGCAGTTCAGACGGTTTTGTTGAAGGTGGTTTATTAACTTTTGAATCAACTCGTACCGGTGACTACCATGAAGACATGAACGCTGATGTCTTTCAAGAATGGTTCGAACAAATGATAGATCTTCTTCCTAAGAACTGTGTAATAGTAATGGATAATGCAAGTTATCACTCCAGACTTATAGAAGGACTGCCCACAACCAAGTGGTTAAAAAAAGACTTGCAGAATTGGCTGAGTTCAAAAAATATTACGTACCATCCCGGATCTATAAGAAAGGAACTTTATTCGTTGTGTGCCTTTCATAAAGAAAAATTTAAAAAATACGAAATTGATGAAATTGACAAAAATCGTGGAATGACAGTACTTAGATCCCCACCATATCATTGTGAATTAAACCCGATTGAACTGGTATGGGCACAGATAAAGAGTGAAGTTAGAAAGAAAAAATACCACTTTTAAAATTCATGATGTTAAACAGTTGTTTTTGGAGGCCGTAAATAATGTAAAACCTGAAAACTGGGAAAAGGCAGTAAATCACACTATTAAAGAAGAGGAAAAAATGTGGAAGCTGGACAATATTACTGATAAAATGATCGAGCCAGTTATTATAAATCTTGGTTCTGAAAGTTCATCTTCTGAATCTGATTTGGATTTGTAACAAGTAGCTGTAAGTTTTATATTAATATTTTTATTCATGTATTTAACATATCTTAGACGGTTTTAAAAACTCTTTTTTCTTTTGTAATTTTTAAAAATTAAAAAAAATGTGAATTTTTTAAAACCCTTTTTAATGTAGGCCAGTCAGTTCTAATATAGTGTGTGATAAAAGAGGTCACTTTTGTTTACATACACATAACACTTTATAACACTGAAATAATTCATTTATTTTTTACAATTATTCAAAGTAATTTTTCAATTAATCTTGAGCACGTCCATGGAGTGGTCGAAGGTACCAGTTAAAATTATGCTAATTACTCTCTCGTTCATAAAAATAAACTATAGAAGAGGATAAGAAAACTAAAATGAAAACTAAAACTTACCCTACTTTCGAAGCAAATATAATTCTGCGACAGAAAAAGGCGTCCGTTGATGTGCTTCTTATTATAAGGTGTGAACATCGTACAATCTATCGAACCGTCTAGCTTTTCCGCCGCCGGTAGCCTAAACATCAGCCTATATGCTTCTGATTGTGCTCTGGCGTCCAAGTCTCTTTTCAAGAACGACGCTTTCTTGGGAACGTTCTTACTGAAATTAGATATTCATAAAAAGATGCTCAAGCAAAGTATATATCGAGGTTTTCTGTGATTCATTTGAATTTTAATTCCAATAAAGTTTATACTTTCTAAAGCTTACTAAAAGACCAGGGTGGATCTAATATAGGTTCTCGTCTTCAACATCTATCAACCGACTTTTCCAACGACCATATATGGCACTATATATGGTAATATACAGTCCAGTATAGCGCAAACGACAATTCCTTCTGCATTCACCACAACAAAGGATCATTATATGTCTGCAAAATCAACTACGTCAGCTAACCAACCACGGAGATGAATAGAGACCAACTCGTACAAGATGAAGTTTATCATCATACAGCAGCAGAGTTGGAACAACAGCACGAACAGTATCGAAAGAATAAAAGGTAATAACTACCCGAAAGAAATCAGAGAAATGATAACCGAAAAAAGAAAACTAAGACGCAAGTGGCATCAGTCTAGAGCACCAGTTGATAAAACTAGATTAAATAATGCCACACAAAAATTAAAAAGAGAAATACAAAAAATTAAAAACGAATCGGTTAACATTTACCTAAGTGAACTATCAAATGATAGCGCTACTGATTACTCTTTGTGGAAGGCTACTAAACGATTAAAAAGGCCAATCTTACAGTATTCACCAATTAGAAATACTAATGGTAGCTGGGCAAGAAGCAATATACAAAAGGCCAACAGGTTTGCTGACCACCTAGAAAATACTTTTCATCCAAATGAAGAACAAGAAAGAATAAACTGGGAGCTCCCTGATCAAGACGAAATGGAGATTAGCCTTGTAACTCCAAAAGAAGTATATTTGGAAATAAAAGAAAATATAAATCCAAAGAAAGCTCCTGGATTTGATCTAATTACTGGGGAAGTGTTAAAGCAACTTCCAAGGAAAGCTATTATAAAATTAACACATCTTATAAACGCTTCCTTTAGGTTGAGGTACGTACCAAAGATATGGAAGGTGGCAGAAATTATAATGACACTAAAACCAGGAAAACCTCCACAAGAAGCTTCTTCATATAGGCCTATTTCACTGTTACCTGTCATGTCTAAATTATACGAAAAATTACTCTTGAAGAGACTAAAACCGATTATAGAGGAAAAAAAAATTAATTCCTAATTATCAGTTTGGGTTTAGAGCAAGCCACTCAACGATAGATCAGGTGCATAGAATAACAGATATCATAGAAAAAGCTCTAGAAAAAGGAAAAGTTTGTTCCGCAATTTTCCTCGATGTAGCGCAGGCTTTTGACAAGGTGTGGCATTATGGACTATATCATAAAATGAGATGCTACTTACCAAAACAATATTCTGAACTACTAGAATCATATATATCAGACAGATACTTTCGAGTTAAATATGAGGAAGCATATTCAGAATTAAGAGAAGTTAAAGCTGGAGTTCCACAAGGAAGTGTCCTGGGGCCAGTGCTATACCTGCTCCATACCAGCGATATTCCATCATTAGAACCTAACACAATTGCGACATTTGCAGACGACACATGCATACTAGCAGTCGGACAAAACCACGAGGATGCAGCTACCATGTTACAGAACTCTGTTGAACAAATTAACATCTGGACCAACCGATGGCGTATCAAATTGAATGAAACAAAATCTGTTCATGTCAATTTTACTAACAAAAGAGAACAACATATCCCAGTACATATAAATAGAAACCAAATACCTTATGCAAATACGGCAAAATATTTGGGTATGACGTTAGATTCCAAGCTACGTTGGAAAGCACATGTTAAGAAAAAAAAGAAGGAATTAGAAATTAAGTTCAGTAAGATGTACTGGTTGATGGGAAAAAAATCCACTCTGTCTATTTACAACAAATTGCTATTATATAAGCAAGTCCTTAAACCGATATGGACATACGGAATACAGCTATGGGGCTGTACAAAAGAAAGCAACATCCAACATATACAACGATATCAGAATAAAGTATTAAGGAACATCGTTAACGCTCCATGGTACTTTAGAAACTGTGATCTTCATCGAGACCTCCAGATGGATACAGTTATCCAGACAATAAGTAAGTTTGCCGAGAGTCATGAACAGAGGCTCTTCAACCACGTGAACGTCGAGGCCATCAAACTCCTAGACAACGCCAACCAGATAAGAAGACTAAAGAGAACGAAGCCGTTTGATTTAGTGCTATAAGTGATTGAAAGTGAAAAAGCAGAGTAAAGTGCGGCTAAAGTGTACACGTTAGCTAGTAGTACTATAATGTATTAGAGCCTAAGGAATATTGCTGAATATAACCTTAGATAAGTTTCTTGTAATATTTATATATAGAACTAACTTGCTTATTGATCATAGTGAATGATCAGATAGCAATAGTCATAAGATTCCTGTTGGAGTTTTATTAAACAAAAAAAAAAAAAAAATACAGCAGCAGAGACAACCATCTGTCTACTACGTCTGATTCCAGGTGATCAAGATCTACAAATAGTAGGAATTTATAAAATATCTCAGCATCCAACTATTTATGAAACTTACTTTCAAAAAAGGTCGAAGAAATAAAAAAATCTACCACAGACAAATGATAATCGTACTCTACATCATAAAGACCAAACATTCCATAATATTTAGAAAGTACACAGCTCTACAAAGCCTACGTATATGCAGTTTGATAACATTATGCTGTGTTTGACTTGCACGCACATCCCCAGAGTTGGATTCCATACGTCCAGATAGGTTTCTTAACGGTTTTGTTTTCAAGGCTCACTTTTCATTTCCTGCCTACTAACCAGTTTCGATCTTTCATTCTTCAGGTCAATTTGTTTCCGCTTCTTAAGAATATGTTCTTTCCAGGTGCGTTTTGAGTAAATATGTATTCCTAGGTTTTTAGTGCTAGAGGATTAGGGAAGTTGGATATTGTTAAGTGAAACTGGAGGACACAGGTCTCTTCTCAAGGTAAAAGTCACTTGGACTGATTTTGTTTCATTCATCTCAATTCTCCACTTGTAAGACCATGTTTCGATTTCATTCAGTTGTACCTGTAGAATGTTAGATGCTATAATTGGATTTTAGTCGGCTGCAAGGATGACAGCATCATCTGCAAACGTGTCAGAGATGATTTTATTAGTGGAGGGTAGATCTGCTGTGTATAGCACATATAATATTGGTCCAAGAACGGTGCCCTGTGGAATACCAGATTTTATAGGAAAATTATTGGAATTACTTCGATTCACTCTTGTTCGGAATTCACTTCGGAGAACCACTGATAAATAAAAAATTATAAAACGAATAGACAAAACACCTTGAGCGGCGTCATCAAACGAGTACAAATTTGCAGAAAAACATAAATTGCTGTACATTGCCGAGAGGAAATAAAATAGAACATTCCAACGCGCTAGAAGAAATGATACGAGACTACTTACTCTCCTTTTCAGAGCCTTTTTTCAGTGCGTCACAGTTTTTCGATTTCTTTCTAACGCATTAAGTTGTATGTGATGAAAAAAGCGGCACTTCCGTGATTAAAACACGAAAATATTACAGCGTTGCATACATAACCGGTCTATTCTTAACCTACGTTTGATTCGTTGATATTTGACATGCGCGCTTTCTCCAGCCAATCAGTTACGCGAGTCACAAACATTGGATGTAAAACTTCATTCATTTGGACATCCTTTAGAAGTGTCAAAGAGTGAACTGATCTTGTCGGTTCAGGTCAGTATTTGACATCGTTTTTCATAGCGTTGTTTGTGTTTATATTTTTATTTTGTTTTGGTTTTCATTAAAATATTTTTAAAATGCCAAGATTTACGGAAAAGGAACAAGTTCTGATACTTAAAGTACTTAAATATTTTGAATTAGAAAAAGAAGCTGGGCAAACCTTATTACCACTTTCTGCTGTTCGAGAAGTAAGTTTATAGTTATACTGAAAATAAAATTGTTTTATTTTTACCTACTGTTTATTTCAGCGTGTTGCTGAGGCGTTAGGAATTTCTTTGCCAACAATAAGACGATTGGCAAATGAAGGTGTCCAAAAAGATTCTGATTATTCAATCACAATGAGCGAATCAGTAGCCACGAGTCGTAAACCGACATTATTAATAAATAAATACGAACATGCCATCAGAATGTGTGTATACAGAATGTTTAGTAAAGGTAAGAGCATTACAACAGTTTAGTTAAAATATTTAACCATATTCCTGATAAAAGGCAGGAGTAACTAATTTTCATAGACATTTCTTTTAATAAATTGTTACTGACAACTAGTTAGATATATAAAATATATAGAAATAAAAAGTGATTATAAAAAGAATACTACTGAATTAAATACTAAGTATTTAAATAAAGATTTAAGAGTTATCTTTTTGCTGGAGTATATGCATTTACCTTGTGCAGTTTGGTAAAATACATAGATATATTTTTATAACTCTTAAACTTTGGATTATTTAAATATGGTTATTATGATTTATAAAAGGAGTACTGTTACATATAGCATTTAAATAGACAAATTCCTAATATCAAAACTAATGTGTTACTTTACATTCTTAATATTTTTCCTAGAAGAATCAGTATAGTGTCTTTAAACTTTGATTGTTTTAGGTGAGCATGTGACTCTTCATACCTTGAAGCAAAAACTAGAGGAAGTGGATGGAATTAATATCTCTATTGCTACACTTAGCAGAGTTTTAAAGGAATTAAAATTTAGATGGGTAAATTGTAGTGTTGCTAATAGAAAATATTTAATGGAACAACCACATGTGACTTTAAAAAGACTTCAGTTCTTAAAAGCCTATAAGGACAATGAAACCAATGTATACCCTTTAAAACCAGTGTTCTTGGATGAGACCTGGATATTCAGCAAAGGAGGATTCCGCAAGAGCTGGCAAGATGGCACTGTTAATGCAGTCAGGAAGAAGAATGGAGAAGGTGTACGATACATTATTCTTAATGCAGGTTCTGAAAATGGATTCATAGATAACTGTGAATTGATTTTCAAAAGTGGAAGTAAATCTGGTGACTACCA